GGGAAATAGGACTGTATTAGGCATAAGAGATACCATTTTTTTTTAATATTTATTTCACCGGCTGAAGATTTACAAAGATTTTGCCTGGTTTGGAGGATTTGAGCTATAGGGAGAGGGTGAATCGGCTGGGGCTGTTTTTCTGGAGTTTCCGAGGCTGAGGGGTGACTTTATAGAGGTTTATAAAATCCATGAGGGGCATGGATAGGGTGAATAGACAAGGTCCTTTCCCCAGGGCAAGGGAGTCCAAAATTAGAGGGCATAGGTTTAAGGTGAGAAGGGAAAGATTTAAAAGGGACCTACGGGGCAACTTTTTCACACAGAGGGTGGTGCGTGTATGGAATGAGCTGCCAAAGGAAGTGGTGGAGGCTGGTACAATTACAACATTTAAAAGGCATCTGGATGGGTGTACGAATAGGAAGGGTTTAGAGGGATATGGGCCAAATGTTGGCAAATGGGACTAGATTAATTTAGGATATCTGGTCAGCATGGATGAGTTGGACCAAAGGGTTTGTTTCCATGCTGTACAGCTCTATGACTCTAAATGCAATTGGACCTTTAGGGTACTGGCTAGCTTGCTCTCATCATATGATCTCTACCTCTGCTAGAAGCACCTTTGTGTGTAGTAACTGACAGCCATCATTGCCTCCTGTCCTCTGTTCTTTCCCCTCTCTCCCTCTATCCCTATTTACCTGTCTCTGAATTATGTTTCCCCACCCATTATCCACTCATGTCTCTCTCTCTCTGTCTGTAAAATGTAACATGACTCTATTACAACAAAACAAGACAGCAGGCATATTATCTTCTGCCTAATTAGGTTTTGTAAAAGCCTTTTAGAAGGTAATTATGAAAAATCAGCATTATTTGAAAACAACAGGAGTCCTTTTTTGGTAATATATAAAATCCATGGTAGAAGCTTTGGAATTGTTTTTGACTGCATGAAGCTCTCTTCCACAATGTGTGATAACCTATTAAACAATAATTATCAGTAATTTAACACTGATGTTTATAAGGCAGCTCTGCTGAAAGAACATCAAGCTGTTCACTGTTGACTCTTGAGCCTAATAACATTATTATTTAGATGAAGGATGTTTCTGTACCTTATGCTGTCTTGTTACCCAGTGTCTGAGTGTTTTAAATACTGTGTCCAATGCATCACTGTCCTATTCTGATAGCTCTGCCTGTGCTGAATTAATTGATCAGATATGGGGAACATTCCCTAACTACTGACTCTATCCCCTGCCCTGCCAACTGTGTGTGAACAAACTTAGACTTCTTACAAGCTCGGTGTCACATTTGACCTCAAGATGAGTTTCTAACCATTTGTTCACATCATCACGAAGACTGCCTGTTGTCAACTCTGTAAAATCACATGATTTTGCTCCAATCTCTGCTGCTGAGACCCTCCTCCTCCATACCTCTGTTACCTCTAGACTTGTCTGTTCATACACGCTCCTAGCTGATCACCAACATCCCAGCCTCCGTCAACTTGGAGCTAAATCTAGACTCCTGCAGTGACCGAGTCTTGTTTCCCTAGCACCCCTGTGCTTGCTGACCTAAAATGGCTCCTGGTCAAGCAAAACTTTAATTTCAAAATTGATATCCTTTTTTTTAACAAATCCCTCGTCACTCCCTAACTCTGCCTGCCCTAGAACCCTCTGAGATATCTTCAATCCTTTAATTCCAGCTTCCTCAACATTGCTGATTCTAATTGATCCACTATAGTCGGTCATGCCTTTAGCTTCCCTGGGTCCAGAGCTCTGGTTTTCCCTGCCTAAGCTGCCCTACCTCACTCCCTAATTTCCTTCCTTGAAAGCTACCACTAAGAGCAATCCTTTGGCCAATAGCCTAATATCTTCTTAAGTGACTCCATGTCTAACTTTCCTTTACAGTGCACTTCTGAAGTGTCTGTGGGTGCCTGAGAGCATGAGAGATGCTGCATAATACAGATGGTTGTTGTCATATAGCCTTGGTTTAATAGCTCTGTGGGTAGCCCTCGCCTCAGGACATTGTGGGTTTAAGCATCACTCCACAGCTACCTTCCCTCTGACTTTTTTTCTTTTTTTGCATAACTTAAAGGGAACATTTCTACAGAGACCTGAATGCAAAAGCCAAGTGAAGATCCAGTGCAGTGCTGAGGGATGTGTCAGATTCTTCCTTTCCAATGAGACGTTAAACTCTCAGCGCTGTGACATGACCTCAGATCCACTATGTCCAAGGGGAGCTGTGAAATTCCCCTCAGTGTCCCATAATGGTAGTTCCTCTACTTCCATAGAATCCCTACAGTGTGGAAACAGGCCCTTCGGCCCAACAACTCCATACTGACCCTCAAAGCATCCCACCCAGACCCATTCCCCAAACCCACCTAACCTACACATCCCTGGACACTGTGGGCAACTTAGCATAGCCAATCCACCCTAACCTCCACACCTTTGGACTGTGGGAGGAAACCGGAGGAAACCCACGCAGACACAGGGAGGATGTGTAAACTCCATGCAGACAGTTGCCCGAGGGTGGAATTGAAGCCAAGCCCCTGGCGCTGTGAGCAGCAGTGTTAACCACTGAGCCACCATGCCACCCAAACCCTTCTCAATAATTCTCCAGTAACCCACATAATTAAAATGGCAACGGAAAATATTACAAAGATTCAGCGAATCTGGCGGAATTCTCTTTAATAATCCCTTCACAGGATGTAGGTATCATGGCCAGGCCAGCATTTGTAACCCATCATTAATTGTCCTTGAAGTGAGTGACTTGCTTGACTATCTCAAGCACCTGTTGGCCAGACCAGGTAAGGACGGCAGATTTCCTTCCCAAAAGGACAATAGTGAACCAAGATGGGGTTTTACAGCAATCGATAGCTTAATGGTCACCATGACTGAGATTTGTTATTTTGCAATTAATTGGTTTTAGATAAAATATCGATGGAGAAAACAGAGTTAACATTTCAAGCTTTTTTTTGTTCAGATGTGGAAAACGTTGCAGGTTTAACAGATTTTGGGCAAGTTACAGATCATGGAAGTAGGGGGAGGGAATGAAGATTAAACAGGAGGATCTGTGATAGAATGGAGGCAGGGAGGTGATTAAATGCTGAAGGGGTTGGTAGTACAAGGCAGAAGGAGATGGTAACGGGTCCAAATGAGGTGAAAGCAGCAACAGCGTCAACATTCTCAGCACCCTTCTGTTCTCACACACAGGGGCGGTGTTAATGATCTGGACACGGGAACTTGAGTAAGGTATTGATCCTGTTGAGACTGCTCTGCTGTTCGCTTGGATCGTGGCTGATCATGTGCCTCAACACCATTTTCCCACACTGTCTCCAGTTCCCTTGATGTCATCAGTCTTTGGAAGCCATTGACTTCTGTCTTGAATCTGCTCAATGACTGAATTTACCCAGCCCTCTGGGTAAAGAATTTTTCCTTATTGTAGCCTTAATTGAAGAATGACCCATTTATTCCCACTCTCTGCTTTCTGTCTGTTATCCAAGTCTTAATCCACACATTTGCCCAATCCTTTGCCTTTATTTTTGTTTACTAGCCTTTTTTGTGGCAAAAAATGTCTTCTGACAATCCAGATACATCGCATCCACTTATTCTCCTTTCTCAATGCTATAACGAATATTCTCGAAACATTCTGACATATTTGTCAAACACAATTTCCCTTTTGTAAATCCATGTCGACTCTGTTTAATTTCACCACTGCGTTCTAAATGTGTAGTTACTAGATCCTTTGTTATAGATTCAAGCAGTTTTGCTCAGAGCTTTTGAACCCAATGTTGATGCTCATGTTTCAGTGTAGGAGGCTGAGGACAGAGAGGTCAGACTGGAAGTAGGACAGAGAATTAAAATGTGAAGTGACCAGAAACTCTGGATGATGCATGTGGACTGAAAGGAGGTGTAGTGTATTCTGTCTTTGTTTCAGAATTCCAGCTTCCATGCTATTCTACTTTTCAAATCAACATGTGATCATTGCCATGTCATGTTCTGTGGGGGTATGCATGTGCGCAAATTGGCTGCCACTTTTCCAACATTGATAATAAGATGACACTTCAAAACAAACACCTGTGAAGCACCTCAGGATGTGAATGTTGCTATAAGAATGCAAGGCTTTGTTTTAAAATCACCAAGTGATTGCACAATCCTGTGGACTAATGCACTGAACTTTCACCTCTGGGTCCTGAGTTCAAGTGCAGTGCAGACAAAATATTATCAAGGCTTTCTCGATTGCATTTGGCTGTTAGGATTTAATACCAAGTAATTCTGATGCAGTCTGAAAGCAGGTTCTTGGATCATAAGGGCTGATAGTTCAGAATTTCTAATCTGGTGTTTACACTGTAGATTTGACATTGGGGTTGTGGTATAAGGGGTTCATAGCTATTATGCTAATTGTTAGAGTGCATCATCGGTGATATCAGATCACACAAAGTTGGTACCTGAGAGAAAAAGGTTCAAATGAAGTCTACCTTGTAAATAGTGTGAATAGCCAACAAGCGTTTATTAGTTTATAACAGAATGGTTTCCAGCTCTCATCTATCAAAGACACGCAGACCCCAGTCATGGTACTAATGCAGGGGGAACGGTATATATTCAATCGCCTGATGCATTGAGTTGTGGAAGAGTCCACAGCAGAGGGAACTGGACAGTCTGCAATTGGCTAAAAGTCTCTCTCTTGTTTCTCAGCGGTTCTGATATCGTCTTTTCGAAAGAATGTTGCAATTTATTGTTACTTATAGGAACTGATCCCATGAGAGAAATGTGTGCTTTCATCAGTTTGTAGCCTTCAAAAATTAAATCAAGACTAGAAATCAAACTTATATGTTTAACTTCTGAGGTGTTTGCACCTGAGTGTACATTTATAACTTTTCAAAATGTCAGCGAGACTTGTACACGTGGGAACACTATCAGGGACAAGTTGCTTTATCCAAACTGTGATTCATACTCCATTCTTTACATTATTAAACACCAATGATTGATGAGTAGAAAGATTTTCTTTATATTCTTCAGAATGAATCTTTGTGCTGACCTGGATACAAAACGAGTGAACACACCAGGACTGAACATTATCAGGCATAGATACTTCAGGATTCAACATACCAGGAGTGGGTGCTCCAAGAGTGAACACACCTGGACATCACAGACATGACATAAAACTCCAGACTGCCTGGACCAGGGTACCTGAACTCGCTCTCATTCTACCAGGATTATGTAAAGCCAGGACTCACTATTGCAGATGTACCCATCTGAGCCTGGCACACTCAGCCCTCATGTGCCCAAATTAAGGGTTAACTGGATCCACTTTTGCAGCACAGAGCAACAGAATTGGGACATGGTGACTAATTGCATATTTTAGGACATCGCCAGCAATCTCCTTCTGTCAGAGCTAAATATACACCTGTTTTGACAGTTTAAGTGACTTCACGTAGAGACAGTTTGACAATCTAGTGTTGCTTTTAAAATAAAATGCCTTATCTATAACATGCTTGATTAGAAAAAAGAACCCTGTTTTTGCAGTTGACGTTTCTTTCGATTACTGCTAATGGAGAGGAGACTCAAATTCAAATGTATAAACTTCCTTGCTTTGTACATTTAGGTATGAGGATATCATCAGTGATTACAACTTGGCACTAAGAGAGAGTGTGTGTTTAAGCAGCAGATTGAGAGGTAGTGAGTAAATGCCCTCACCTGATGCTTATGTTTGCTGTGTAAGAACAGGTGGTGTCCTATATCTTGTAGAGAGGTTGTTGATCTCAACAACTGAGATGTTAAACGCTGACTCGTTGCGTTTCTTCAAGACAGAGGTCCATAAATGTTCGGACGTTAATGGAATCAGATATTTGGAGAGGGCAGGAAGGGGGAGTTGGTCAGTCGTGATCCCATCGATTAGCAGAATAGACGAGGAAGGGGCTACTCCAGATCCGAGTTCCCTTGCCCTTAACCTGGCCTTATTACAGTAAACCAAAAGAGTGGGAGAAGGGAGGGGTGTGGCAGGAAACCGTCAGTGTTCCCATGTATCTGCTGCCCTTGTCCTTCTGAACGGGAGTGGTCGTGGGTTATTGCCTCTCAAATACCCCTCAGTTCAAATTGCCATGTTTGAACACAGAGCGCTGGGCCTCATTTTACCTCACCCCAACCTCCATCCCTGCACTGATATCCAACATATCCATCCTCGTGCACCAGCCTCCCCACCACCAGTCAGGAAATGGATAGACTCTTTGTAATCTGGATGGATGATTCTGGATTGTCAGCTAAACACAATACTGCCTCGTTGCTGCAGTTTTCATAGCCAGTGAACAACAATGTTGGAAGGAATGTTATAACATAAACCACTTTTTTCTGCGTTGCCTTGTGTGATTTTTCTCCCTGGGTTTGCTGCATCTCTCAATCCTGGAGAGGGGCTTGGGAGAGTTGGTGACCCTGGTGTTCGTTCCTGAATAAGATGGTAGAAGGAAGTCCATGGAAAATAAATCATCACCAAGTCAGCAGCAGATTGGGCTCAAAAAGAGGATCAGACCATCAGGATTTGATATTAAGTGCAGCTGGTCTTCCACAAGTTCTGTGTATTTATCAGCCCTGCCAAGCCCACTCTTTGCAGTTACCAATCACACAACCACGCCCCTATAGGATCATGGAAAATTCCCAGCATTTGGCCCATTCTGACAGTGCTGGTATAAATGAGCTGCCCAGATTATTCCCATTTACCCCTCCTGGAGCCTTGTAATTATGAAACTCCAGATAGATATTCAGGTAGCTTTTAAATTCAGTGAAGGTTTTTACTGCCATCTCCATTTGAAGCACTTAGTCCCAGAGAGCCACCAGCCTCTCAGTGAAAATATTTCTCTTCAACTCCCTTCTAACCCTAAAACTAGCCATTTTAAATCAATACTCCCTGGTTATTGGTCTCACGCTTTTTTTAATCCGCTCTATTTAGGCCCTTATTAATTTTACACACCTCCATTAAATTGCCTTCAAAGTTATAGCAGAGGAACTGTTCCAAGGAGATTCAAATCCCCCACAAAACTCCAACCCAAAACATAATACTGCATTATTGACAATATGGGCTAGAATGGAGATGATGGGCCAATTGCCCCATCATTGCGTAACTGGGTTGCCAACTCAAGCTGGATATATTCTTTGAGGTGCTGTCACATGACCTCATGCTGCTAATCCCCGTTCACCCACCATTGGTCACCTGGCACTAATCAGGAAGGAAAATTGTCTCGTCTTTGCCAGATTGGATCATTCATTACAGTCAGTCAAACAGCCTTTCCAACTTCGACATTTTTTACACTTTATGGACAAAGATATTCCAGGAAAAGGAAACTTGAACCAGAGCATATTTAAATCTGCTGATGGTTTCTGTCCCAAGTATTCCCCACCTTGAAGATTAAACCTTTACTTCCAAGGGATTCCGGAACATTCCTAGAGAGTTAGCAACCCTAGTAAATGACTGGGCTCTGATTCTTCCTTATCTAATTGTTCTCCGCTCACTGTCTCTTCTCGAAATCTAATCCTAGGTGTCAGTTGATCTGAAATCAAAATTAGGAGCCCATTTTGTCACGTTATTAACATCACGTGGTCTAATAATCAATCATCAGGGATCAATTCACTTGTGGGTTAGTTTAGTTAAAGCAGTAAAACACACTATAAGTTATGAAGCAGACATTATAGCAAATCAACCAATTTTTGTGTGTGTGCAGTTTAGATCTACAGCAGACTACCTACCAGGCAGAATCTCAATATTATATACACACAGCACATGGAGTCTATAAAGGTGAACTATTGAAAGCAAATAACACGCAATACATGTCACATCCAGTATCCAATGAAGGAAACAATCTGTCCTGATGGCTAACCTTTTGTTTTAAACTTGTGAATTTTATTTTTGCACCAGTGTTCAGGTTAAGTTGTTCGATTGTTTCTAGCACATCTTAGATATTAAACAACTAGCAGATGCCAGAATCTGCACCGAAAACAAACAATGCTAGAAATCACAGCTGGTCAGGCAGCATCCATGGAGAGAGAGCAAGCTAACATTTCGAATCGAGATGACTCTTCATCAGAGTTAACATGAAGTGTGGAGGGGACAGTATTTATGCAATAGGGAGGGGGCAGGGAGGAGTGCTGGGGGAGAAAGGGTGGTAATAGTTCAGGCTAAGCGATCGGAATGTGGGATAGTGTGTCTAACTGCCAGATGATGTCTAGACTTGGTTGCCACACTTTAAGGAAGATTTGACAGTCCTTGAAGTGCTGTAGGGTTAACAAAACGGTTCCAGAGTTTGGGAGTTTAGTGAAGAGGTTAGGTTTGAAGAAGCTGTTCCACAGGAGAATAAGGAGAGAGGTATAAGATAATAAGGAATATTTTTGGCAAAGGAAGACCATTCCCATTAGCCGATAATACAAGGACAAGGGGACACAGATTTAAGATTCTGGGAAAGAGATGCTCTAACAAAGAGCATTTTTTTGTTGCGAGTGGTAAAAACCTGGAAAACGGTGCACACAGGAGTACTGGAGCACAGGTGATGGGGGTGGATTTGGATTGGCTCTTCATGGCAATAAACCTGCAGAGCTCCAGTGTTAGAGTGGGGGAATGGGACTGACCGGATTGCTCTTCAGAGAGCCAGCATGGACTCATTGGGCCGAATGGCCTTTTTCATGTCATTATGACTTCAGATTTTCCTTATTTTAAAGACAGTTCCCGCCCTCACTGGGAAAATTAAAAGTAATTGCTTGTGTCTTTTTCTTACATTTAACATTTTTGCTGTAATCTCTCCATGTTACCAGTTGTTGAAAATTGAGGCATGTTCTAGTGCTGTTGATGACAGCTTTAGCTTGTCAGCACACAGTTATCTGTTATGCCTCCACATTTACAATACCCTTCAAGTGGAGCTGAATCCCAATCTGTTTAACCACAAAACATTGGGCCTGTGGCACGGGGTTCTGTTAACTTGCAAGGAGTAATTTGGAAGATCTCATTGCAGTGCTGGTCTAATTCTTCAGTGGATAATTGGGGCACAGAGAAAAGTAGAACGCTTTACAATAAACACACAACTCAAGAAGTTAGTTGGAAATCCTGTATCCTTGGAGGAAGGATTTTATGTCATATCTGATTCCATTCACTTCCGTCCAATGGAATGAAAGAGAGGGGTTTATCCTCTGATTCTATATAGATTTTTTATATATATATATATATAAAACAGAAAAGGTTCAGTTAACTGGACAATGCTTTGCAATGCAGAGTGATGCCAACAGTGTGGGTTCAATTCCTGCATTGGCTGAGGTTACCATGAAGCACTGTCCTACTCCCCTCATCTAAGGCATGGTGACCCTCAGGTTAAACCACCACAGTTGTCCCTGTGTAAGGCGAGAGCAGCCCCATGGTCTGCTGGGAATATATTGAGTCTGTTTTTACTTATATAACCACTCGGTGTGAGTAGATCTTTTGGATTTCAATGCAATGAGAGTGGACTTTGACTATTATACCAGAAATTAACGAAAGGGAGTTTCGTCCATTGGAAATCCATGCAATGCCAGTCATTAAGAAGGGGATTGGTCCATTCAAAATTGTTTGTCTTGTTGAATTGTTTCACAACCCTCATGCTGTTCACTTTGTGAAATTGCTGTGGATTGGGCCTGTGTCTAATGGGAGTGAATGGAAGTGGTCAGTCCATTAGCAGTTGCCACTTTGACTGATTGGATGGCGAAGTGTGAGATTGGTGCTCAGATCAGACAACATGACTAACCTACACTACATTTAACCAACTGATCAAAATACTGATGTGAAGAATGTTATTGCTAGTTTTAAAAGAGACCTGGCAGGGAAAAGAGGGCAAAATCTAATTTTGATAATAGCTAGGTCAAGCTATGTACCACATCTATTCTCTAAATTACAGCACTTTCGGTTTCTCACTAATAGCATCTGCAGTGCAGTTCCATACCACCTGCAAGCCCTTTAATCAACAAGCATCTGCTTTCTGATCTTATTTCCATGGTGAACAAGCTGCTTAGAGATTAGCTTTGTGGTTAGTTAGCAATTTCCCTGCTTGACTTCACATCAGCATGTTCACCAACTAGACATTTCACCACCTTCCTTTTTTTTAAATCCTCTTCTAAATTAGTCTTTGTTCACGTGACAACATTACCTTCGGCCAGCCCCACCCATCCCAACCCATAGCCCTCACTT